CCCCTCTGTCCAAATCAAAAACATGTGTTCTTATTGTGCAAAAGAAAATCCAGAAGGAAAAAAAAAAAAGAAATTAAACATGGTATAATCATTATCATCCCAACTTGACCATTTCATTCTATCCTCTTATCTCTTGCCCTGTTCAACTTTCCTCTTTAAAATGCAGCTGTCTCATAGAAAGGCATCCTTAACCACACCCACTTGAGCTGGCATCTGAGATGTCACTGTCCCATAGCTAACCCACGAACGGGTGTGAATGGGTCAAAGTTATAATTATTTGTATGATAATGAAGCAAATCACATGGTCATAGGTCACTGCTTTATCCTTCTTAAAACTTCCCTTGCCACAACATCTCCATCATTCTCATATAGCACTGGCTAGGTAAGGACAAACCACAATTCCCACATTCTTCCTCAACTCTGGCCAGAATTATCATCCAACACTCCTGCCTTGTTCATTTCTTCTTCCACTGTAAACATGCCAGATTACTCCATCAGAAATAAACAACTCTGAGGTATTTGAAAAGTACAAAACAAAATAATACTTTAACATTTAGCTAGATAGGTGAAACCAGAGCACAAGTAAACAGCAATACCTTCACAAATAACAATACCTTCAAAAGACTAAATTACACTTACTATAGAAGAAAAAAAAAGTATTCTTATGCCAGACTAAGAGGTCCTTATGTCAGAAAAAGCAAACTACTTCCAGCATTCTCATTCTTACTAACTTAAATACTATACAGCGAGTAGTATAGAGCCAACTGTTGAATCTCTGAGTCTTTTCTTACACAGAGCTCCCTAAAAACGTCTAAGAGAATATATTACCTATGTATTTCTTCTCTTTTGCCTTAATTCAGGAAAACCATTCCTCAATTTAATGACACAATACAAGGCAACACATTATGAAGGGAAAAGCATAAAAGCCCCTCTTTCCTCAATTAATACCAACTCAATGAAAACAGACGAGATACTCTAGCTCAAAACTTTTGATTCCTGTCCCCTTTTTCCATCAACAGCAGAAATGGGAAACTCAGTTCACTCAAACTAACCCCAACTGCAATTATTTAAATGCAGTGATACACTACCTGTCACAGTGTACAAAAAATGTATCAAGAGAAGGCTGTAAATAGTTACAGGTACAAAATCAAAACAGGGAAAATTATTATTTTGAATACCGCTCTTACCCCTCACTTGAAAAAATAAATCCAGTAATACACATGAAAATACAAGTACTGCCTCCACCCATTAATTTCCCCAAGATTCCAAATAAACTGTTAGTAAGAATAAGTGTTTGATCATCATCATTTACTTTGCTTCCTTAAACACAGCTTTCATGAGCGAGAAATAACATTTCCAGTGAAAAGTATTTACAGACATATGCTAGGGAAGCTAAGCATAGCACTGGGAGATGTCAGGAACAGCGAAAAGACAAAGAAAGGAAAAAGAGTGTGAAGCTCCACAGGGCAGACCTATCAGTTACACACACACTGATGCTTCCCAGGCCCTGGCTCCCTCCACCTGTTGTCTGCCCCACGCTGCCAGTTCCTGTTCTTTTCACTCCAGCTTTCTGATAAGACTTTATCAAGTAATATGCTGCCTGATCTTATCCCTTCTAAAGTATTTTCAAAGGGCACTGTGGGACAAAAGACACAAGGCATTGTGGAAACAAGCAAGTTTTTCACCCATCCCATCAGGAACTCCTGTAATTCCTGAAAGAAAGTATATTCTTATAATAGGTGCTATACCAAATATTATAATTTCTTTTTTCAAATGATAACACAAATGCTTGTACATTCACTGAGAAAAGCACACATTAAAATTTTATTTGTTTTCTATTTCAGAGTACTGAAAGCAGCTACCAAAAGACAGGGGGTGGTAGTGGCAGGGTAGCTCCCCATTATTTCATGCAACAACCTCAGCCCATGTGCAGAGCACAGCTGGACACACACGGAGGGCTGTACTCAGAAGCATCAATCAGCTCTCTCCAGACACAGAGCTCCAGTCAGTTCCTTGGGAGTCACACAGTGGAGCAACGCTGCGAGATGGCCATGTGCACCAGGTGGAAGAAAAAAGTCTTCCCTGAAGATCACCATGAGCTGCTCAGGAGAGCTTTGCTAATATATATACTGGAGAACTGGAAATATGCACTACAAAGATGGACTTTTTTACCAGCTCTTTAATTCCTCACTCTTCCCAATTACTTCTCCCTTTAGTTACAACTTCTTACCACCTTGGTTACCCAGAACTTACTTGCTCGACTTTGTCCATCATGAGCCACCAGCATAAACAGTTCCTCAGTCCATTAGAGTTTATTAGCAGAAGGAAGCACATTAAAAGTAATGTAAGAGTCTCACTTCACCCTCCACAGAATCCATTTTAAATCAAGGAATGCTGCTGATCAGGAAGTCAGCAATGGACCACCTACTCCTCCTCCATCCTACATTTGCCACTTTAGCCAAAGGTCTGACGTAAGAGGCACCTCGGGTGGCCAGGATGGCTCCTGAGGCTGCCCAACAGGCAGAGCTCGAGGTCTCCGTGCCAAAATCCTGCGGACTAATGACAGCACTGGAGTAACTCTGTGCAGACTGGGGAGCTTACAACTGCACAGATCTTTAGTGCTTATCTGGCTAGGAGATTATATTCATTAGTATAAGGTTTCAGACTTGCACCAAGGTTTTCAGAAGCAAATGTGCAATTTTAAGTATTCTGATACCCTGTAAAAAACTAGGTGTTTCAGATGCCCAGTGCACTCTCAGAAACTACAGTAATAAAAAACTAATATTTAGTATTCCTTAGGTGTCAAAACTGAGCACTCACAAGTAGTGCAATATCTTCTAAATTAACAACCAACACTTTGAAGTATTCATTCCATAAAAGATTATGATATTTGAAAATATTTCCATTTGCTTTGTGTAAATTTTGCAAGTCTTATGGACTGTATTACCGGATATAAACATAAATATTTCTTATCCTTTTCTGTCATCTATCTGTCATCTACATTCCTATATACATTTGAAATAGAGACTCATGAGTAACATGTATCATGCAAACATGGACTTTATCATTTAATTAAATCAAAATTTTCATCCCAAGGACTTGCTTTTGTCCTTACAAACACAGAACTCATCAGTCCATGAAGAGTAAGGACAGACCAAACACATCTATTTGCATTAACTAGTAATAAGTCTGACATTGCTGTATCAATTAAACTTCCACTGAGTGACTGATACTAAAAGTTCATTATAATAATTCACCACACTGGGGTTTCACTTCTCTAGTTATATTATCTCTGTTACCTTTGTCTTCCAAATCAGCTTCTTACACTCACTTTTCATTTCATATCAGTCAGTAACCTATTCAGGAGGCACTACTGCTAGGGCTTGTACAGTAACAAACCTTAGGAGCTCCTGCTACTAGCCAGAACGTCTATAGAATTGATTGATGCACTACAAACAATCATCTTCAGCCCATTTCAGCCCACTAGGCCACACTCCTTCCTTCCTTACCAATCACTTTCCACACAAATAGAAGGTGGCTATGACTGCATGTGTTATATTTCCTATTACTCCTTTCACCCCCTCCTTCTGCCACCCCCCCAAAGGCAATTAAGTATGCATATTGCAAACAATAGTGCTTTTAACACTGGTCCCCTCATCCAAGAGGAAAATTTCACAACTCCCACGTTACCACCTATGTAAATAATCGCCACTGATGGACAGGACCAGACATGGCCCAGCATTCCTCAGGTACACTGTCCATCACAGCCAAGACTGATTATTTTCTATGGAAGACCACCACACCAGAGAACACCACTCCATCGAGTCAGGGCGGAGCAGAGCAGAACGCAAAGATGTTTAAACAGAGCACAAAGGAAGATACAATGAACTCGGCGAAGAACCAAGGACACGACCACAGCTCACTCAGAGGCAACACAAAGCAAAGCAGAGGAAGGGACACAACACCAGGGACCGTCTCGGAGGTGCAAACCGAACAAAGAGCAAGTACCGCTGAGCCCCAAAAGGTGAGGCAAGGCCAAGTGCCAGGCTGTCAGACAGCCCACAAGTGGATATCCCAAGGCAGGCGCGGAGGTGCCGAGTGTGGGGGCCGCCCTAAGGCGGGGCACGCCGGCTGCCGCCCGCAGGGGCTACAGGCCTCTCGCCGCCGGGGGCCCGCGGCCAGCAGCCCGGCAGCCGAGGACATATAAGGGCAGCCCAGCCCAGCCCGGCCCGGCCCGGCCCGGCAGCGCTGGGAAGGGCTCCCCGCGGGAGGCCCGGGCCGCGGGCAGGCTGGGGCGCCGCGGAGCGCGGCGGGCCGGACCCGCCCCGGCAGCGCCGCATGGAGGAGCCAGGGGCGCGGGCAGGCGGCGGGGCCGGCCCGGCGCTCGGCACGACCGCGGCCCGCCCGCCCCTGGGGCACTTGGCCTGGGCGGCACGACGGGCCGGGCCACCACCGGGTACCGGGGAGAGGCGGAGGGAAGCACGGAGGAGGGGGGTCCCGGCGCGGCACTCACGTTCTCCGTGTCCCGCTCACTGACGGTGGGCAGCGGCGTGCGGGTGGACATGGTGCGGGCCGCGGCGGCGCCGCGCCCGGCGCTCCGAGAGCAGAGGCCGCTCCTAGGCCTCGGCGGAGCCCGCCGGCCGCCCCCGCCGGCAGCCGGGCGCACACGGCGGGACGCGGGGCCTCCTGCCCGCTACGCGCCCGGCGCCATCGCCTCGCCCGACCGCCTGGCTGCCCCTCCGCTCGCCGCGCCGCCGCCGCCGCCGGGGTCCGCGCAGCTCGGCCGCCGGCTCCTCCTCCTTCCCCGCCCTCCTGCCCGCTCAGGTGAGCGACCGGCAGCACAGGGGGGCCGCGGCGCCTCCTCGCAGCATCCGGCGGCGGCACCAACTCCGCCTCGCTGCCCTCCCCGCTTCTCCCCTCCTCCTCCTCCTCCGCCTCCTCCCCCTGCCCGCCCCCGCCCCGCCGGCCCCGCCGCAGGAAGCGCCGCGCGGTGCGGGCGGGCGCGGCAAGCGCGGGCGGGCGGGCGCTGCTGTGGCGCCAGCGCCGCGGCTCCGTCACGGGCCCAGCCCGGGTGGGGCCGGGCGGGAGCGCGCCCTGGGCCCGGGGCTGAAGTGAATGAAGTGGGGTTTCATATTCAACAAGAGGCGGGAGTGATCTCTTCTCTGTGGTGACCAGTGACAGGAGCCGAGAGAATGGCCTGGAGCTCCGTCAGGGGAGGTTTAGGTTGGAGATCAGGAAAGGGTTCGTCACCCAGAGGTGGCCGGGCACTGGATCGGGCTCCCCCGGGAAGCGGGCACAGCACCAGCCTGAGAGAATTGGAAAGCTTTAGGACAACGCTTTCAGACACATGCTTTGATTCTTAGGACTGTCGTGTGTAGAGCCTTGGACTCGGTGGTCCCTGTGGGACTGGTGATGCCCGCCGAGGGGAAGGAGGGCTGAGCACTGCCCCGGGGGCAGGGCCCGCCGAGGCACCGGGCGTGTCCCTCAGCCTGGCAGGATGCGGAGGCCTCGGAGAGCGCCAGCAAGGCTCGGCCAGCCCGTGGCCTGGGGAACCCCAAACCCTCTGCGTGCCGCTGTGGGACGGAGCCCTTGGGCTGCTGGGGCCGCTGATGTTGGCTAGTGGGTTGCCAGCAGCTCTCCCTCCTTGGCTCTCCGTTGTCTCTGGTAACCAGGAGCCTGAGGAAGGGCAGTGGAACGTCCCTTCTGCCTCTTGCACAGCTTCAAGTCTGCAATTCATGGCTTCTGGAGGTTTTAAAACCCTATGTCAGCATCATAGTGACTGTGTAAATCAAACGATTTATTTGTGCACCTCAGCCAGCCCGCCAGCCTCCTTTACCCACTTGAAGCTGAAATGGGATCAACAAGACTGTGCAGCGCATCCCTCTGCTCATGTCCGACCAGTTCACAGTCCTTAAACACTTAACCAATGACCTCATGTGCTTAAAATTAGAACCATACATGCATTTTTGTCTTCGAGAAGTTAGTAGTGTTTACACAACAGCAGCTTTTGCTGGAAAACCAGCCAAACCCTTCACCAAATTCTAAAAATAATCTGGAAAAAATGCAAGAAACCCCCCAACTTCCTCTGCACCAGAAGCAAAACAGTGGGTCCAAATTTCCATTGCAATATTTTGACAGATTTGTGTAGCTAAGGCTGTAAACATCTTCATAAATTCTGTAAACACAATCCTTGTTCTGGAAAAGCTTCCTTAGGAAAACACTTCGGAAGGCACTTCATAAGTTGTGTATCTATCTTCAGGAAGCTCTTATGTGCTTATGAAAGAGCACTGACTGTTATACATTACTGATAAATAACACATACATATGCATCTGTATGTATAGGTAAACACACCAGTAAGTGTATGTTTAATTCTGGCTATATTAATCCTGGTGTCATTCAAGAGGTACCCCCAGCTCCTCAGCACTGGTCAGCCCACAGTGGAGTTTTCCACATATTTGGGAAAACAGCTGATGCAGGCACAGGCAGAGAACATCCCCATGCTGTAGGAGCAGCGTAACTGGACTCGCTCTTTGCACATTCAGCATCCTGTTGCTCTGAGCATGCATGATTTGTCAGTCTGGAAATGAGACAGGTTCCCAGCTCATCCTCAGACCAAAGCCTCCCAAACCCTGGCAAGGGCTTCTGTGAATTCTAGTTGGCTCCTCACACAGTGGAACTACCAACTGCAAAGGAAATTCCAGGGTCCTTCATTTTACTGGGAAAGAAATAATCCAAGATTGGGTTTATTTGAGGTAAACTGCCGTGGTCTAGCCGGCATGCCAAAACAAGTTTGTTGACAAACTGGATATTAACCCAGTTTAGTCGCTTAGCTCATCAAAATGCACTCACTTTTATCCCAAGTAAGAACAAGACTGTGTCTAGGACTCTGTGTGGGGCCTGACTCTGCAATCTTTACTTGGTCAAAACTCCCACTGGTGCAAGCCCATCCTGGTACGTATTTGTGTATGCACCTGTGGCCAGGAAAGAAAGAAATGTAAGCTCCAATGTCTTCTAATTGTGTTTAATGGCACCACTAACTAAGGCAAAGCTTAAAGAGACTTCCTGCCTTCCAATTTGGATAAGCTTTGGTCAGTATTTCATAGGAAAATGTCATCAGAAATTAAAAGTGTAATAATGTAGTAATTCTTGTTATCTGAAGATCTGCTTCGCAGTTGTTTTGGCAATGGTTGTTACTGTTGTCATCTTCTTTCATGTTGCCAAGGTCAGTCATTCATTTAATCACTCTGTTTAATTTTGTTGTGTTATTACTACAGGCTTCATGTTTCCCCCAGGTAGGAAAATGCAGGGACAATGACTGAGGAGCTGCATGCAGGAGAAGGTGACCACCGAGATGGTCCTGTCATAACTCAGTCACTCTCCAAAGAGACAAAGCAGAAGAAAGGCAGTGGCCTGAGCACAAAAATAGCCTGGAAGGAGAAAGCTTCAAACTGTCTGAGACCTGCAACTAAAATATGCCAAAAGTTATTGCTGCTTCAAGTAGCATTAAGCCCTGCTTGGTGCCCAGCAGGAGCTATGTATATTTAGTGAATGGCTTCAACTTTGGCACTGAAAATGTGAATAGTCCACCACCTTACCAGGACCCAAATCCCACCCACTACTGTACTAGTGATTTCAGACACTGGCTGGAATGAAACCTTTTCCCACAATTTTCAAATTCAGTTCTCAACAGCAAAAGGGTGAGAGGTTCAGAAATAACATGGGAACAGGTGACCACTGAGATGTGAAAAAAGCAGAGCAAACTCATGCTCTTTATTGGCTTTCATTACACCAGGACTGTATTGTGGAAAACTAAATGAAAGACCTGGCAAATATGAAAGAGTAAAATACCTCCAGCTGCATGCAGTAATGCTTCAGTAGAATTAAGGAGTCCTGAGGTTATTACAAACTACAGGTACAGGTCTCCATGGATTGTTTACCTTCATGAGGGACACTGGAAAAAAAAATACATGTATTCTGAATATATGTAGACTTTGTAAATATGTTAATAGTTGCAATCAAGGTTCTGATTTTGCTGTCAGAATCATTAGGAAGTATAATCTAAGTGGAAAGTTAAGTAACATAATTTGTTCTAATATTTTAAACCTGCAAACAAATAAGTTGATTGTTTTTGTTTTTGTTTTGTTTTTTTTTTTTTAATAGCAAGCCATACCTTTTGGGAATACTCTCATCGTGTATGTGCAAAATACCTCCCCAAAATATTTAAAGACATGTGTCAGGCCAGAATTTGTCTCAAAGTCAGTTGTACTTAAATTTAGTAGTTGAGTTTGTGTCTTCACTTTTTCTGGGTAACTGAAGGTTTTTATTCTTTCTATGCCATTACAAAGAACTGCCCTACAAATATCTATGTAAGACCTTTATATGAAAACATTAAATAAAAGAAGCATTTGTCACTGACATCTGGGACAGATGGGAGAAGGATAATAAAATCACAGTACAACTTTGTAGTTTCATAAATTTCTTGCATATCCCCAAGGCCTCTAAAATGGTATTAGAAAATCTACTCCAGAGAAGAGAGAATTGCTTCTTAAACATATGGGTTGACAGTGGTCTGAAGAAACTTGTAAGGGCAGTTTCTCCATCCCTGGGCATGTCTCTGATGGCCTAAAAAACCAGAAGGGTCTTGTAAACTGGTCCCACTATGTTAAAGATCTCTGTACTGTCTCTTAATAATCATAGCTAAAAATAGCTAGTTTTGATTGTTTCCTTCAGCTTTGATATCTCATCTTTCTTTTGATGCCCCCAGTCTCTTCAGCCATACAGCCAGCTTCTTCCCACATCTGAAGAGTTTCAAAAGGAAGCTAGCAAGCCACCATTGCACTGAGGTAGAACCACAATGAAACCTGGGGCAATGGCAACTTTGTGAATTTCACCCCTTGTTTTCTTCTGTTGCAGCATTTTTTTACTGTTGTGGCTTTTAGTAGTGGTTTCAAACTTACTTTTTAAATAAGTTTCATTTTTTTTCTTTCCTCCTTTTTTTTTTTTTTTTGTAGTTTGAATTTCGATTACTATCTTGGCAGAGGAGGTAAGGCTTGAATAATTTTCATGCATCAGCACTGACAACATCTTTTTTGCTATTCATTTTTTGGGAAACATTAACATTCTTAGAAAAGACTATCAGAGACTAATAATGAAAACCATGTAGTATGTTGAAAGTATCTGTAATGAATATGCAATATCTTGGCATTCCTTTTATCTGAAAATATTTATTTGTTATGAAAGCATGTTAAAGAGTAAAATAACCATTTAAATCTTCATGATTCCTATCATAGTTGTATCTGAGCTATCAAATACATCATAATGCACCTCTACATTTGAGCTGGGAAGCTTCCTTAGCTGTTGCAAAGCTGTAGATCTGTGGAGTAGAGGGTCTAAATGGTCTGTCCAGGAGCAGAGAGAAAGCCAGGGACAAAGGAGACAGGAGACACGCTAGAAGTAGTCCTTGGGGACCCTCTGGCTACAGTTTTAAACCCAGCTTTAGATAACCCCAGGAGATGGGTCAGGATGGCAGAAAGCCTGCAACAAGATGCCTGGTGATCTGCCATTGATCTTCAGAGGGCCACCAGAGACCAGAAGTGGGGGAAGAGTTGGGAAAGGCAATTAACCTAAGTGGTCACAGATGTTCTCACTCCACATCTGCCCTCTGCAGACTTCAGTGGTGTGGTTTCTGTGGAAACAGAAACTCTGTGCTAAATGGAGCTGCTATCCCTGGCAGGATCTAATTTTTCCAAAGATGTATTCTACAGTAGCACAGCAAACACTCCTTGATGCAAAAAGATGCAGAGCTATCCTGCAGCAGTATTGCATATTATGATCCAAGGAAGAACAGCTTTTGATCCAGGGACAATTGCAGGATTTGTTATGAGTTGATCCAATAAATGATTCTGTAAAAGGAAGGTCTCTGACTGTGGCAAAGACTCTATGTAATCCTCAGGGAGCATGGGGTCAGTTTGAAGTCTTTCCTCTGCCCATTTTAAGGTGAGCAAGGAAAGAAAGCTTTGAGCTAAACCCCTGACTACAGCATTTAAGCATGTCTGTGTAGTCTCTCTGTGTGAATATTTTTTTACTTATTTAGGACTTATTTTTTATAATACCTTATTTGGTTAAAATACCTTGTTGAGTGTACTGGGTTTCATTTTTTATTGAGTCACTTTACCACTTTAGAGGCTTAAAATAACTTGGGTTGTGTGGTACTTTTTTTTCCATCTTTCCCTAGCCCCTCCTCCAGCCCCCCCAAAAAAGCAATCGCCTTGTTTTGTTTTCTGCTGACTACACCAAACTGGCAGAATAGCCTTAATTGACAAAATGACAGGATAGAATAAAATGTTGGAAGGAAAGAACTGACACAGGCATTCCTGAACTTTTTAACAGTTCAACCACAATGGCCTGTTCAAATGAATTCATTACTTCCACAAGAGAAAGTAAATTTTATCCCTCCCAGAATCTGCATACGGAACAAAATGTCCAACAGCTGCTGACTGCTGGGAGTTGTCCTGACCACGTTTTACAGTGGACTGAAGGCTAAGCTGAGATCCATCCCTTTCTCCAAGGTTGTCAGGAGCAAAGGAAGGCCATCTGCACCTCCTGTAACAGCTACTGAGACAGAGCTGGCAGTAACTGTGACTGCAATAGCTTCAGCCATGGATTTAAGAGAGGACAGATTCTAGAAGCCTTCTTCAAAGATCCCAAGAGGGTGTAAAACAACCATGTGAGAATGATAGGCAGCAGAGTTCACTTTGAATTGACTCAATCTCTGCACAAAAGCAGCACCCCAAAGTCAGGTGCAGAGAGAGGGAAGGGAACCTTACTCCGAATTACCTGGCCACTCCTGAGGTGGGATAACTGGCTGTACAGGGCCTTAGTTTGTCACCAGAACCATCCCCTTGCAAAACCTCATCATCTTGCTTTCCCAGCTGGGAGAGTGTCTGGAAACAGATAGGAGAACACAGCAAACCAGAAAATAATCACGTTGTCAGATTCTACTTTTTAGGTTAGCCAGAGAAGTAAGAAACAATGTGAACCTGATTTCCAAAATGAGATAAAAATAAACCAAAGGAGTTATTTTTAGATGTACCAAGCTATCCAATAACAATTCAGCTTTATGGCATGCACAAATAGGATCCAGATTCTGATTTTGGTCATATTGCTGGAAGTTTTCCATTGACTTCAAAGATAATTAGTAGTTTCACCAAAGTAATTTGATCAGAATTTGGCCATAGATCTATTGTCCCATGATGGGATGCACTAACTCAATAAGTTTTAGGGGAAAAATAGTGATTTAAAAAATAAAAAGAAGCAACACACTGCTTTACCTCACAGTTTTATTGAGGTTTAAATGATTGTGTTTTGAGAATGAACAGTGCTCTATGTCTGCTAAGCATTATTATGCATTATATAAATGCATAGTATCAGGCGTGCTATTTTCATCTTTGCCCACAGCATGATAATGACGTCTCTGCAGTGGGATGAAATGCAACACTATATTTAATAAAGGTTATGGATTTTGTTTCTATTTCATGTTGTTAGGTGCTGTGCTGGTATCTAGGTCACTGTTCAAATCTGTCAGGGGTTAATCATGGCCAGTCATTCCTATCTGGCCCTCTGCTGCTACAGGGAAAGTTGTTCCCCTCTATAACTCATCAGCTTAGTTTAAAGTTAGCAAAAATGCTCTGTGATGGTGTCAATGCTTACAGGGATGGAAGAAAATGCCAGACTTTATTCTGGGATATTCATAACTCAGTGTTGTTGATAGTGATGTAAAATGAATTAAGGACATTTAACTGAAACACCGAAGTCCAGCATCTTTTAGGAGTACTAAAAATCTAAGTAAAATATCTGACAACAAGTTTAGTAAGTTAATGGTTTGCTTAGAGCAGCTTCATTTTTTATATGGGTCTGATGTGATTGCAATGAAGTATAGGACAGAAGATCTCACTGGGGCAAAGAACATTTTCCAGCGTGGTTTGCAAGTCCGTCTTTGACAATAACAAAGTTTATTTTCATTGCAAAACTAAAGATATATATATATATTTATACACGTATATATATACACATAAATTCTTTAGTCTCAATTTGTGTCTCAGTCCTTACTTTTGGCACTGCTCCTGTATTGCCACTATTTACCCTGAAGAAGTGTATAAAAATCCACTGTAACAAATCCTAATGTCTTCTGATCAGCTTTTTATTGAGCTTTTACTAGAAAAGAACTTGCAGTAGTTCAAATCCTGATGGATAAAAAACAGCTGAGCCCTCACCCTTCCCTCTGATTTCCATAGCAGTTGTTGCTGAGTAAGAACTGGATGCATCTCCTCCTCCTGCGTCAGGACTGCTGACATGAACAAGTGGGAGGAAGATCAAGCTCCGGCAAGGACGGACTTCAGGAGCTGCTTCATTCTTCTTTCACACGGATGGGAGTGTCACAGCACGCTTTCCAGTCTAATCAGTCTCAACACAGCCTTGCACAACTCAGCCTGCTTTAAGCTTTTAACCAGGGTGTAGGAGTTCAGAAAAAAAACCACCTCCCTTCCCCCAAGAAAAATGTAATTGCAAAGATTTGTTTCAATGTAGCAAGTGCAGTAAACTCGAATTACTGAAAGGCAACCACACATTTGTGCAAGTATTTTTTCTTTCCCTCATTTTCATTCCTAGTTAGTTATTAATTTTATTTGCCTCCTAGAGAAAATGCACTAGGGACTGGATATGACTTCCAGTGAGGCTCATGGTGGAGCTGCCAGGGCCATAATCCTCGGGGCTGTAAGACAGCTCCTCTCTGGTGACCCAGCTGGGGCTATCCCAGAATATACCAGCAGACAAGCCGGTCCCCATCATCATTTATGCAGACAATGACTCATCTTGTGGGCCAAAGCAAATGCTTAGTAATTATATCAAAATAGTGAATGGTGATAGATTCTACTCTCATTGTAATTGTGTTACTAATTACAAGTTCTACTCACTCTTTGTAAGACTCATTTGTTTTAATACTCTGACAGAAATCACAAGGTTAATGAATTTAAGGCTTCATACAAAAGCCTTGATGTTACAACATGATGTGCAACAAAAGCACCAGTGTGCAATTTCAGTGTAAAATCATGGTGCTTGTAACTCTATAGACCTCTGGTGAAGCCTACACAGAAGTTTTCAAATTTATTCTTCCATTAATAGGCTCAGAATATGGATCTGGGTTGTTAGTATTACCAGTATGTAGCATGCTGAGATGTGGAGGACAAATGACAGAGCAGACTAAAATTCAAATTAAGCAGTAAGTGAGCATAGTAAATAGCAGGGTGAGAATGAAATATCAAGGGACAGAGCCACTAAAATATTGTTCTGCTTAGGGAAGATGATCCAACAAAATTAACTAATATTTAGCAATCACATACTCACTGTAGAGTAATTTATTGTGACAGCAATAAGAAAACCACTAATGGATGGCTACAGAAATGCACAGATTAGGACACTTAAGATAGATGTAAATCAATGCCACCAATGGAAATGGAAATTCCTTGACAAGACAAAAAGACAGGCTTGGAATTGAGGCTGTTCAGCCTGGAGAAGAGAAGAACACCTTAGAGCACCTTCCAGTACCTAAACTGGGCCTGCAAGAAAGTTGAGGAGGGATTTTTCACAAGGGTGTGTAGTGATAGAACAAGGGGGAATGGGTTCTAACTGACAGAGCATAGGTTTAAATGAGATAGTAGGAAGAAATTCTTGACTGTGAGGGTCATGGAGTACTGGCAAGGTCAGGTGGGATGGGGCTCTGAGCAACCTGGTTGAGTGGAAAGTGGAATGAGATGATCTTTGAGGCCCCTTCCAACCCAAACCATTCTATGATTCTGTGGTATTTCTATCTCTGTTACTTATAAAACTTGTTTTACCATGGCACCTGGGCATCTTTCTCATTATAGTCCTCATATCCCCTGCAATTGGACCAGCTTTGGAGTAGGCCCTCAGCATGGGCTGTCCTAGCCTGAATACCTGAGCCCTACCTCCTGATGGCACAGCTGCTGGCACCAACACCTAGCTCTCCAAGCCTTCCCTATCCCATCCTGTCCCATCCCATCCCATCCCATCCCATCCCATCCCATCCCATCCCATCCCATCCCATCCCATCCCATCCCATCCCATCCCATCCCATCCCATCCCATCCCATCCCATCCCATCCCATCCCATCCCATCCCATCCCATGCTTCTCTTCACCCTTGCTCTTGCTTTTCCTGCAGCATGACTGTGCCACTATGTCAATCTTCTTCCCCTCTGTTCCCAGCAGCCTGTGAGATGCAGGAGAGAAGGTTGGACTGCTGCTTCTCAGAGGAAAGGAGAGATCTGTTGGTTTTGGGAGAGGGGGAAAAAAGGAAATTATTACTCTTCCTATCTTCATTTGTATTTCACGGATACCAGTCTTCCTTCCTTCAGACTTGTTCAGTGTAACTACAAAATTCACTTTTACCCATCTGTCTTGGCATTCTTGGGTAATCTTATGCCCTTCATACTAATGGCAACGGAAAGAATAAATTAGTCTATCCAGAAAGTCTGCAGTATGGAGAGATCCCCCAAAATTAATCTCATATGTAGTCTGTTACCCTGACTAATTTCTTTATGTGGAACCATATTTTTATGAGTTTACTCATGCTTCTCTCCTTTTTCTCACATTTTTGGGTCCTCTGAATTAAATAAAAATGCATTTTTGCTTCTTCTGACAATGCTGATAAACAGAATTTCCCTTGCAATAATATCTAGGCAGCAAGTAAATTTTGCAGATATTTGTGAAAGTGTTTGCCTAGTTCACAACCTGCATGAATTAACCATGCTGAAATCCTCCTATGGGTTGGAGAGCTGCACAGACAGGGTCAGAAATGGTGCATCTAGCAAACCATACCAAGCTTTAGGCAGCTGGCCTAAGCAGTTGTCCTAATGCATAGTTCATGAACGAGCCATTGGCTGCAATATGTTGGTGTTGGTCACGTATCAAATAATAATGAGCACTGAAGAGTAGATTCTGCAAATGAACAAATGGGGCTGACTCCCTTACCTTCATATGAGGAATGTGTTTTGAGGCCCATGCTTATGGAGCTACAAATTTGTTCTTTGATCTTTTCCCAATAATAAGGCTAAAGGAATGCAATTTCTGTTGTTAATATTTTGCTTAATGTTAGTGTAGGGAAAGGTCACTAATATTCTGTAGCTATCTCATCATTCTCAAGGAACATGTCATATACATTAAAGGAGACATATCAATAATTAACATAAACCCCTTCTAATCCTAAAGTCAAATATTAACATCCTCCCTTACCTTTTTCTTTTCTTCATTTTCTTTTTCTTTTTTTTTTTTTTTTTTTTTTTGGCTTCTGTCAAATTCCTAAGGAACCCAAGGCTCAGAGTGGTAGAATTTTACCCAGAGATGATGAAAATAATGAGACAGCCATGAGCCTTCCTGCCTGTCTGTGGCAGATTTCAGGCATGTAATTCTGGAGTAATCTCAAAAGTTAAGTATGCAGAGAAGTGCTTTATAATGTGTCATAATCTTGCAATTAGCTTTAATTAAGTTAAGCTTTAATACCTATAAAACAATAAATTTTGGGGACAAAAGGTATTCTCTGGATTGCAGCTGCTTCTTTCTAAAAGTCTATTGAAAACTAATTTCTATAATTAAAATAATACTTTTAGATATGCTCATTTAGTTATATTCAAAATAAAATATAGTTAGATGTTTCTAAAATTGATTTATGAACCTGTACATAAATCCTTGTATCAAAAGCTGAATTTTCATCCTGTAGCATTAGCATTTAGAGCATTTAAAAAGGTGTAACAGGGCCACATGTTCAAAGCAGTTCCAAATTCCTATTAAAGAGTATCATCATGTTAAACAGCTATAAAGTTAAACATATGTGCACAATTTATTAAGTATAGGCATAAAGGTCTTTTTCAAATGTCTATGTACATCTGAAAATGGTGTCTATCCCTACATATAGTATACCTGTATGCATAATAAACTGCAGACCCATAGATTCATTAGGTAGAGGCACATAGATAGGTCAAATACATTCCCAAGGCATCTTCAATCACTAACTTTTATGTCAGTGGGAAGGAACATGATCTTTCGTAACAATTAAGTGATTGTTTGTTTTCTCCGTGCCATTTTCTTGCAAGAATTAGACATTTTGGGTTACTTATTACCATAAGATAATTCCTGCCATTCTGCTGAAGGCTCAAGCAAGGCAAAATGTTTCCTAATTCCCAGAAGGCATGTGTTATCTCTTGGTAACACACACACACATTGCAGTGTGACATTTCTCCTTGATACAGGTAAATGGACCATACTGTATCCAGGATACAGCTTTTTGCTTCCATTAAAATCTCACTTGTATTTTCCTGCTTGCAAAATACTTTGTCAAGCTGTATAGTACAGAATACAAATTTCACTGAGTTCTTTTACAATTGTGATTTTAATAAAATACAGAGAAAGGCTAAATGGAAGCATCCAGCTGCTAAAAACCTACAGGACTGGCATTTAGGTGGAAGTTGATGTCTCTGCTCTTGTACATGTTGGAAAGGATATTATTCATAATTTCATGCTCCTAATGGCCAACAACACTGTGTGGATAGCTGTCTTAGAATATATTGTGAATATAAGGGAGATGTTATTGTTCAGTGTTTTCAGGACGTTGCTGTTGAGGCCTGACTATAACAAGGTTTCCTAACTTCAGTCAGCAAACCAGGTGAGGAGCCTTCTGCAAGTCTTCTCCCTGGCTGCCTGCATTTCTCCACATTCTCAGCCAGGAAATTTATCCAGGATGCATCCCAGATTTCAGACTGTTCCTTGTGCTGTCAGTTCTGCAGTTAGTCACTTAGAAAGATGGCCAAGTTTCTGCAGTGGGCAGCCACCTCATGTCACCTCAATCACCCTCAGGGCCAACTCTGGCTTATTTTTCTGCACATTGGATGCTCTGAGGCAGATACTCTCCATGCTGCTAATGTCTGCTCAGGGGAGACATAAAAACTCCCTTGTACAGGAAGCAGGAGAAGGAAATAGAGCAAGGCAAGCCCCCAAATCCAATATTAGTTTCTGATTGCAGCACATTTTCCTCCTTTCCTCTTTGAGTTCTAAGTTCAGGATCAATATCCAACGAATGTGAGAGGACATGGTCATGATAGGGCAGGGAGAGGACAGTGAAAGCAGCCTATTCACTGTTGCACTTGGGGATTTGCCTCCAGAAACTAAGATCCTTCCAGGTTTCCTCTAGAAGGGAATTTGCAGCCACTGGGCACATGCTCTTTCTGTCAATAATTTATTGTATATTGCCAATGAGGCAATGCAGCCCTTTCTTCATGCACAATGAGCTACTACCCTGGCAGATAAAGCCACACATGGCACATTGTAAATGTGATCTTTAAACCCCAAGTTCTTCTGTGTTACTGAATCACCAACAGAGGAATCTTTCTTCTGTTGAACAGGGACTTGGATATGGGAAAATTTTCTATGGGGAACTCCCATATGCCATAAATAACTACCATATGCCATAAAATGATAATGAACCTGATTATCTTCTAAATAGAGTAATATATAATATTTTCCATTTTTTTTTAGTAATAATCCACCTGTT